CCTAATAAATTAATAATCTCAAATTATCAACTTCACCAATATGAATGATGTTTTCAAAAATTAAATTTTGAATTTTGATCATGATTATCTGAACATTCATTATTTGAAACATGAGGATAGGTAAAATATGAAAGGATATATAATGATAATGGAGTAAAAGATAAAATGTAATGAACATGTATCTGTCATTTTATTGAAATGATGAAAGATAAATAAAAGACTAACATAAAAAAACTCTCAAATGTTTTACTTTTTTCATGTTTTATCTCTAGCTAAAATTATATAAAATAATTAAATAAAAATATAAAAAAATAAATAAATAAACAAAATAATAAAAAAATTTTGGATGAGAGAAATAAAAATGGGTCTATTTTAAACTTAAGTGGTAAATTCAAATCCAATAATAGTTGTGACCCTAAGTCAAATAGTAACTTAGCTTCAAATTAGTTGCTACTAAATTTGACAAATTCGATTCCAGACTAAATAAGATGTTTACTGTAATTAGTTTGTCCTTAGCCAGTTTGAAGTGCCTACACTGCACACTTATATTTTCTAGATTTAGAAGCCAGCCAAATGGCATCACCTGCTTTAGAGAATTGAATCACTTTCTCTTCAATAAATTAAGAAAAATTACTCAAAAAGAAATATCTACAGTTGTTCATGAACAACTCTTCTTCTTTTTTTTTTCCTTTTAAGATAGCAGCTATTCGAAAGTTGGTTTAGTTTGTTGTGTCCCTATATAGAAGAAGTTCAATCATTCATTATACACTTGGGAAGATAATATCTGTTTTATTAAAAAAAACATTTACTCTTATTGTTAGTTTGAAAAACACTTTAGTACCCTTCTAAAATGATGGATATTAAAATTCTTTCAGTGAAACTAATGTTTAATCAAAATACCAAAAACACCCTTATTTATTGTATTGCTTGCTTCTTTTTTTTTCATTCTATTTCTTTTTTGTTTCAGTCAATTTCTCTATCACCCAAACTTTCAATATAGTTTGCTAATTCTAAGATTCAATTAGCAGGATGGAAGCAGCAGCTGTGAAAGCAGCTGGCCATGGGATTGCACCTGCTGTGGTAGCTGGGAAGGGTATATGTAAATGGTTGAAACACAAACATAGTTATGTAAAACACATCAGCAGTAATTTCAAGAAACTTGAGGATGAGGATACATGTCTACGTGATAAAGAGGCACATGTTCAGACGGAGCTGGAAAATAATAAATCACGGAAGAAAATTACATCAGAATGCACAACCTGGCTCATCCGGGTAGCAGATATGAAAGAACAGATTGGAAGACTGAGGTATGAATATGAAAATAAAGCTTCCACTTGCTTATGTGGACTATGGCCATAACGTGCTTTGCTTAAGCTTGGTAGACGTGTGGTGAAGAAGACGGCAGAGGCAACTTCTCTGAAGAATGAACTGAGCCAAATCACCATAATGCGTGACAAACCACCAACAGTTCATCGCAGTCACAGATGGAATAATAATGTCAGGATAGTTAACCTTCCATCGCTTAAAAATCACGTGGAGACGTTAATAGATTGGCTAAAAGAAGAGAGATTTAAGAGAATTTACATCAGGGGTCCTCCGGGAATAGGGAAAACAACAATAATGAAAACTGTGTACAACAATGTCTGTGAATCCCGTTAGGTCGACTATACCTTTCGTGTGACTCTAACAGATGAAAGCAGAATATCGAAAGACATACAAGAAGTAATTTGAAACTGCTTAGGCATGAGAATGGACGAAAATGACCATCCTGATCAAAGAGCTGCGGTGATATCTGAGAAGCTTAAGGAAAAGAAATATGTGTTGTTTCTTGATGAAGTTTCTTCGATGGTTAATCTTGAAGAAGTTGGGATCAAATGTAATCATGAGCATGGGAAGGTGGTGTTTGCATGCAGAGACAAATATGATGGTCACACTGATTCCGATATGATCGTGCAGAGACTGTGCAAAATGTTATGCCTGAAGCAATAATCACAACAATACAGAAGTATTAGACAACAATCAATATTCAAAGAATCGCAGAAAAAATAAAGCACACCAAGATTTACGTGGAAAACCCTCCAGTGTAGAGGAAAAAAATCACGGGCCACCAGAAAAATCTTCACTATCAAATAATAGTTATATAAAGTTCTTCTCTAGCTAAAACTAGAGCTAATCAACAACTATAAAAACAATTGGAGAAATCTCACCAAATAAATGACTCAACAAATACACCCTGGATTTGTTCCTAGAGAACTTCAAACCCGATCTTCACCGTTCAGAATGTAAAACTCTGATCATAAACCTCTGACAAGGTTCCAACTCAATCGGACCACTGATCGACTTCCGTTCAACCAACTCTCCCTTTTCTTTTTTCTCTCTCTGCTTTTCCTAGCTTTTTTTCTTTCTCTGCTTGGTTTTCGACACACACCTAAAACAACCCCACCTCTTTTTTTTTAAGTAGCTAGGGCTCTGTGTAAAATAAAATATCAAGGCCCATAGCCTTTACTTGGTCCAAAATTACTTACATGGGACTGGACCCCATTTTCCTAACAATCTCTCCCTCCAGCCCCATTAGGAGGAGATTCATCACCATAGCAGTTTCATTTGGAACTTACCTTGGCCAAGGAACTCATTCCGATCAAGTTACTGCAATGCTCAAGCTTTTTCCTGGGAAGTATCTTAGTTAACATATATGCTACATTCTTATCAGTATGGACTTTCTTCAATAACATCTGCTGTTCTTCAATCACTGAACGTAACCAATGATATCTAATATCAATGTGCTTTATTCTAGCATGGTACATGGTATTCTTACTCAAATCTAAAGCACTCTGGCTATCATAAAATATCACATACTCTTTCTGATTCAACCCCAATTCAAAAAGAAAACGTTTCATCCAAAGCATTTCTTTACATGCTTCGGTTGCTGCAATATACTCAGCCTCTGTAGTTGACAAAGCAACACACTTTTGCAACTTAGATTGCCAAGATACAGCTCCTCCTGCAAAAGTGAACAAATACCCTGAAGTAGATTTTCTACCATCAAGATCGCCTACCATGTCAGCATCAGTAAACCCTTCTAAAACTGGTTGTGAAACTCCATAAGTCAAGCACATTTTTGAGGTACCCCTCAAATATCTAAAAATCCATTTCACTGCTTCTCAGTGAACCTTCCCTGGATTAGAAAGAAATCTGTTCACTACACCAACTGCATGAGCAATGTTAGGCCTTGTACAAACCATAAGATACATTAAAGAATCGATTGCAGAAGAATAAAGAATACTAGACATAGCTAGTTGCTCTTTCTTAGACACTGGACAAGATTTCTTACTTAGATGAAAATGGTTGGCAAGTGAACTACTAACTGATTTAGCATGTTGCATGTTGAATCTACCAAGCACTCGTTCAACATACTTTTCCTGTGACAACCATAGCTTTCCAGCTCTCTTATCTCGGATAATATCCATACCAAGAATCTACTTTGCTGGACCTAAATCCTTCATATCAAAGGACTTAGACAATTGTTCTTTCAACCTGCAAACCATACTAGCATCTTGTCCTACAATCAACATATCATCAACATATAATAATAGGATAATGAAGTTATCATTAGGAAATTGTTTAACATACACACAAGAATTCGCTGCTGTTCTTTTATAGCTATGACTTACCATAAAAGAATCAAACTTCTTGTACCACTGTCGTGGAGCTTGTTTCAAGCCATACAAGTTTTTTTTCAATTTGCAAACTAAGTGCTCTTTCCCTTTCACTTTAAAACCCTCAGGTTGATTCATATAAATGTCTTCCTGCAAGTCACCATGCAAAAATGCAGTTTTAACATCAAGTTGCTCAAGTTCAAGATTCAAACTAGCTGCCAATCCCAGTACCACTCTAATAAAACTCATTTTTACAACTGGAGCAAAAATCTCATCAAAATCGATGCCTGGTTTCTGAGAAAAACCTTTTACTACCAATCGAGCTTTTACCTCACTAGTTTGTCACCATTTTTTTTCAACTTGAACACCCATTTATTCTTTAATGGCCTCTTCCCTGTTGGAAGTTTGACAAGATCATAAGTACCATTCTTTCGCAATGACTCCATCTCTTCTTTCATTACTTTTAACCAGTGCTCTCTATCTGGAGTAGCCTGTATATCTTGAAAGCTTTCTGGCTCCCCTTCACTGGTAACTAAAATAAAATCTGAACTTGGATACATGGTAGATGGCCTGCACTCTCTAGTAGATCTCTTAGGCTGAGACTCTGTATCACTTGATGCTGAAGGTAGCTCCCCCTGCTCAATACTCTCAGGTAAAGAAGATTGCTCCCCCTGCTCAAAACTAATACAGAAGCAATAGACAACAATCACTAATCAAAGAACCGCAGGAAAATAAAGCACACCAAGATTTACGTGGAAAACCCTCCAGTGTAGAGGGAAAAAACCACGGGCCACCAGAAAATCTTTACTATCAAATAATAATTATACAAAGTTCTTCTCTAGCTAAAACTAGAGCTAATCAACAACTAGAGAAACAATTGGAGAAATCTACCAAATAAGTGACTCAACAAATACACCCTGGATTTGTTCCTAGAGAGCTTCAAACCCGATCTTCACCGTTCAGAATGTAGAACTCTGAATCATAAACCTCCTGACAAGGTTCCAACTCAATCGGACCACGGATCGACTTCCGTTCAACCAACTCTCCCTTCTCCTTTTTCTCTCTCTGCTTTTCCTGGCTTTTCTTCTTTCTCCTGCTTGGTTTTCGACACACACCTAAAACCAACCCACCTCTTTTTTATTAAGTAGCTAGGGCTCTGTGTAAAATAAAAGATCAAGGCCCATGGCCTTTACTTGATCTAAAACCACTTACATGGGACTGGACCCCATTTTCTTAACACAAAAAGGATGCTAGAAAGCTGTTTTGGGAATCAGTTGGTTCAGATCTTGAGAAGAAACGAGAAATCAAACGAACTGCAGAACAATTATCGATTTGTGTGGTGGCATGCCGCCTATACTCAGTTTAATAGGAAAACAACTGGAAGGAAAGGACATTGCACAGTGGCGGGATATGAAGTCCCAAATGCAATCACCAAGTAAGCAACCATGGCAAGAGTTGGAAGAATATTACCGGTCATTGAAACTTGTCTATAACAGGTTTACTGAAGCTGATTATAAGCGTTGTTTACTGTATTGGGCTATTTTTCCTTTCGGTGAAGAAATTAATCGAGATTATATAATTGATTGCTGGACAGCAGAGCAGTTTTTGGAATGCCAAAGGCTTGGGAAAGCTCGTGACCGAGGGCATACTATACTAGATAGTTTCACAGACAAATCTCTACTGGCAAAAGGAGAAAAGTTGGGGCACTTCAAGATGTTTGTGTGTTTTCAAAGGGCGGCATTAACGATTGCAAATCGGGAAGAAAATCTAAATTTTTTTGTTGAAAATGGTGCAACGATTGAAATTCACAAATTGATACAAGCAAAAAGAGTCTCATTGGCTCGTACTCGCCTGCCCCCCCTGCCACAAAAGCCCAAATGTGCCGGAATGTTAACATTGTTACTCCATGAAAACAGCTTGCGAGAATTTCCAGGGCAATTCTTTGAATATATGCCTGGCCTTCAAGTTTTGTGGTTAAGGGAAACAGGAATCAGTGGACTTCCTGAATCCATCTCCGGATTAAGAAACCTCAGAGGGCTCTTTCTAGACAACTGTAGTTGTTTAGCAGTGCTTCCTCATCAGATAGGTGATCTCCAGAGTCTCGAAATCCTTGTTGTACGTCATACTGGGATCTCTTCTTTACCGAGTGAGATTGGACGGTTGGGAAATCTTAAATGTTTGAGAGTTTCGTTCAAAGAAGATGCCACAGTAGGAAACAATTTTACTGTTAATTCTGGCAACTTCAATCAGAACGGCATCGAAGAAAGGATAATTCCTAGAAAAATTATTGAAAAGCTTTCTAAACTAGAAGAGCTGAGTATTGATGTGAGCCCTAATAGCAGAAGATGGAATGCCAATGCTGATGAAATTGCAAGGGAAATCACCATATTTAAAGGATTGACACATCTTCACTTCTACTTCCCTCAAATGGAGTCTTTTGAACATTTCATTCAGAATAGCAAATCATGGAAACCAAATGGAGAAAATGAGGAATTTGAAGGCTTCAGATCTTTCAACATCTCTGTTGGTCTACAAGGAAATAGTTCGGCATCAGACTTTAATGTCTTTGAATGCTCAGCTGAAAAGCATCTGAAGTTTTCTGCAGGAGATGGATTTCCTGGGGCTGTTTCTGAGGTACTTAAACAGGCGACTTCATTCGAGCTGATTGGTCACGTGACTGCTGGCAACTTAACGGATGGCCTTCCTGATGATACATTTGAAGAGCTGGAAGTTTGCATTGTTGAGGAGTGTGATGCGATGACGAGCATCGTAAATGGAAATACAAACACAACAGGAGTAGTATTCCCATGCCTGGAAAAGCTACATATAAAAAAGCTCCCAAACTTGCTGAGTATCTGGGAGGGCACAGTAGCATCTGAAAGCTTCAGTGCACTAACGACTCTGACATTAAAAGAATGCCAAGGTATAACGAAACTTTTCTCACTAGAGTTGGTCAGAAACCTGTGTAAGCTACAAAATCTTCAAGTTGAGGACTGTGCAAGGATTGAAAAGATTATTGAAGCTGAAAGTACAGTCGAATCCACGGCCTTTCCCAGTCTGAAGAATTTCCAACTATGTAGCTTGACAAGCTTGTCTTCCATTTGTGATGCCTCGTTAGAATGTCCCTCTTTGGAGAGAATACTTATCAAGACTTGTGAAGGGCTAACAACTTTGCCAAGAGTCCTGCAAAAAGCTCCCAAACTGAGAGAAATTCAATGCGCTGAGATTGGTGGCATCAACAGGAATGGCCAAGTAACGAAACTGAAAAGCAATTCAGAACTTTTCACCGTCACTTCCGCTAAAATGAAAATCCTGAACAAGAAACATTACTGCATACGGTTATTGACCTCTAAACCTATGTGGAAATTTTCTTGGACCATGCTTTTCCATTCCATGGCCGGTATCATTGGATTTGGCAGAATAATATAACCTGGTCAGCTCATGTTATTTTCCTTTGTTTTGTTTTGTTTTTTTTTTTTTTTTTTTGGTTTTCTGGCTGGTTTGCTCTTGGTGTCTTGTCCGGTTGAACACTCAACAATAAAATTTTCCCGTGTGTTTGTTTAAATCATATTACGTCATTGTAATAATTTTATCATGTTGTTTTCCCTTTTGTTTTTTTGTTTTTGTGTCTCATTTGCTCTTGGTGTGCAATACGGTTGAAGACTCACAATAAAATTTATGTGTTTGTTTACATCTATATTACGTCTTTGTAATAATTTTATAAATATAATTAAATTTAGTGAGTTATTTATATGGGTATGAGTCATATATTTTTATCAGTAATTAATGAAACTTTAGTTCTCTCATTTGATAAACTTGTTTATTAGATTGCAATGGCTATTTCCATCTAAATGTTCAAGCATTGTTATAATTTTTGATAAGATAATAAAATGGAATGGTCATGGTAACTGACCCATTCTCACCTTTTGCAGGGCTTCAAGTCTATGTAAAACATTTGATCATTGGTATAATCTATACAGCAACAAAATTATCAAGATAAACATTCATGGTCAAAAAGAGTTGAAATCATTTCAAACCATTTAAAAAGATTGATTTTTTAATTGTATGTAAATTACACATTAAGGATTAAAAGTAAATTATTTGGTGAATTGAGAACACGCATATAAGTGATTTTACAAATTCGAGTAACACAAGGAATAAATATTACTGAACTTTAAATCTCATCATATGGTCCAAAGCACCACCTGCATGAGAAACAGGAAAAAGATGTGGGTAAAGAACACTAGGAACTTGGAAAATTATACAGTTAATAAAAACTAAAGCAAAAATGAAAAACAACTGTAAAGACAAGCCATAAGATAAAGTAACAGCAAGGAACACCTATAGACAGCCTAGTAAAAACCATAGAAAAGAAATTTCCAGCTAGACAGCTTAAAAGACTACGCAGATTATGCAACACTTGTTGATCGAATGATTAAAGAATTCGATTTTTTTAAAGTAAGATTTCAGTTACGAATCTTGTAAATGAAAAAACCAAACATTAAGAGTGCTTTAGGGATGTAAGTAAACAGAGTTTTCGATGAATCGATCATAAATATATTCAAGTTTTGTTTGTTTATATTCATTTATTAAGTTTAACAAACGATCTTAAATATCATTTATATGTTTGTTTATTAAACAAATCGAACATGAACAATTGTTTGTTCATTCATTTACGTTCACAAACAAGCTTGTTTAAGTTCGTTCTAAATTGGATCTGACCAAAAATTTATGAAATAATCGTTACCATTTCAAAAAGTATGCTTGAAAATGAATATAAATCAGCTGTAAGTTTTTGCTAGTAAAAAATTTTGTTTATATATGGTATTTCACATGAAAAAAATCATTCAATAATTTTTTACAAAAAATTGAATGGAGTTTTTAAAAGTATTTTTGACTAAAAATACCTTGAATAATCATATTCAATTTTTATGAAGAGATTATTCAAGGTCTTTTTTGAAGTTATTGAAGGTATTTCTGACTAAAAATTCCTTAAATAATTCAAAGAAAATGAGAAGAAATTATTCAAGATATTTATTTTTTGCCAAAAACACTTTAAATAATCTCTTCTAATTTTTATAAAGGTATTATTTAAAATATTTTTGACAAAAAACGCCTTATATAAATTGCTTCCCATTTTTTTAAAAGATTATTCAATGCATTTTTTGTCAAAAAATATTTTGAATAATCTTTTACAAAAAATTATTATTTAAGATATTTTTTGACTAAAAACAACTTGAATAATCTTTAAAAAAGTTAAAACAGATTATTCAAGACATTTTTTGTTAGAAAACACATTGAATAACCCTATTTAATTTTTTGTAAGAGATTATTTAACGCATTTTTTGGCCAAAATGCTTTGAATAATAACTTTATAAAAATTAGAGGAGATTATTCAAGATTTTTTTTGCTAGAGATCTCTTGAATAACCCTATTCAATTTTTTGTAAAAGAGTATTCAATATTTGATAAGGTATTATTTAAGATATTTTTTTGGCAAAAAAACCTAAAAATATTTTCAATAATCTCATTTTGGCTAAAAACGATTTGAATAATTACTTTTTTTTTTATTATTCAAGACATTTTTGATCAAAAAATACCTTGAATAATCCCTTACCAAAAATTGAATGAAGTTATTTAAGACGTTTTTTACCAAAAAACGCCTTTAAATAATCCCTTCATTTTTTTGGAAGATTATTTAAAGCGTTTTTAGCCCAAAAAAATACCTTGAATAACCTCATTTAATTTTTTGTCAGAGATTATTCAATACGTTTTCTAACCAAATTTTTTTTTATTTTTTTATATTCATTTAATTTTCACGAACAAGCTCATTTAATTTAAACGAATCGAACACAAATATCTTATTATTTAAATAAACCAAGCTCGAACACAATTAATGAATTTCCTACAGCACACGAATCGAGCTTGAACAGCTCTAAAAATAAATGAACAAGTCACAAACTTATATCTTTTTATTCATGTTCGGTTTATTTACAGCTCTAGAGAACTTGTTCTCCTTATGACGTCCAATCCGGACCAACTCTCAATTAATTGATGCTCAAAGCATCTACCAGCCATTGGGATCTCCAAACCAAAAAAAAAAGAAAAAAGTTACTGACTAGTCAACAAATATACTCCACATATATGTGTTAACTATTGAGGATAAGTAGTAAAATTCATTATATTAAGTTCCTTGCTTTTCCAACTTTGAGGTTGCCTTATGACTGAGTAAGCAATTTAAATCGTTTATGTTTAAAAATTAAGGAGCTAGACATAAGGAACTTCGTATAAGTTTGTCTGCTTAGCATTTTCCCTTCCAAGAAAAAGGAATGCTGATATCTTTTTCAGTTATAAAAGCTCCAAAGGCAATTGTAACGCCTGTATTCCAGTAAAAGACCATAATTCAATTAACTAACTAAACTTGTTCATGTCATATGGATGAATATTAGACCAAAATATCAGAATTTCTGCATAGTCAAATGCAATAGGTATATGAACATGGCATATCAGCTGTTACTTAAGAATAGTAAGATTAATTGTTGACAGGATACTAATACAAAAACAATCCTTGCTGATTAATATATAATCAAGCCTACAGCTAATAAAACGGAATGGCCATTCAAACCAGCAAATTAGTAAGTTACCAATGATTGATAAATGAAATCAAAACATGAGCTTTTCAGTTTGCATCTCCCCCTACCTCCCAATGAAGGAAAGTTTGACTGCAGAGCTGAACCAAATTGGCAGATTTCAAATTTGAGATCAAACAATGACAGTTCAGGGTTCAAAATGCTCTGATCTATTAAAATTCACAGTGGCCCCTAATTTCAACCAAGAAATTTGCTATTCTGTTATAAAGATGGCACCAAAACAGATGGCAATCATATTTAAAAATCATTTTTATCAACATCAGCTGTTTCTAGCAAGAAAGATTTAGTCTTAGGAAAACATCCTATAACAAATGTCTTTATGCCTTCACATCAATAATGTCTGAATTTTCACTCTTCCAATTGAATAAATTCTATCCAAAATTTATTATTTTTCACGCTTCGATTCCGTCGAAAAAAATAAAAGTATTATATTGGATCTCCGTCAATGGCATCAGAAAAAAAAATATAATTTACATTTTAAGCCATGTAATTCACCAATTTAAACATATTCATTCATATTTTCATGTTTTCCTAGGCATAATAGATCGAAGGGATTAGCTATATCAAAGATACTCTTAACCAAAAAAAAAAAAAAGCTTCTTTCTTGGGGCTTTTTCTTACAAAAACTCTCACGTTTTATTTCAAATTTTCTAACCAAACAATAATCGCACAAAAACACGTAATTAAGCAATAAAATAGTGGAAAACATAAAATTTATTTTTTAAAAAAAGCTTGAGAAAGGTGTTTATCTTTTTCTTTTTTTTTCGCCCAATACCTGAAGTGGGGATGAGAGTGTCGCACAGTTCAAAGGATTCTACCAATTGCCCGCCAAAGACGAAGAAGGAATTCTTTTCTCAGCATTTTATTTTAGGGCTCGGTTGATTTTTCTTATAGCGTGTAGAAAATTTATCTTTGATGAACTACGTACATTCACCGTAGAAAGATACGTATATACCGGAATTTATGTTACCATGAGAACCAGAGGCGAAGCCCTACTTAGGCCTTAGGGGCCAAACACTGGAAGCAAAGGGGCAAAGGAGGCCGACATTATGCTTGGTGGGCCCAAATTCTGTACAATATGGTATAAAATTTGTTTTGGGCCTGCCCATGCCTGCCCTTAGATTCGCCTCTAAACTAACAACATAAATTTAACAAAAAAATATTAAATATGGTTTACACCTATAAATATATGTATGATATTTATTATTATTATTTACATTAAAATAATGTGCAAGGCTTAAATCGATTTTATTAGGCGAATTTTACGTTTTTTATGTTGATTAATCCCATTACTTTTCATTGATTATAAATATACTCCCACAGGTAGGAAATAAGCTTTTTAATACATTGATAGATGTGAGTTTTTTTATTTATTTTAAGTATTTATATATATATTAGTATTTATGAGCAACATAACAAATTATTATGAGATATGTGATTTATTATTGATTATTTTTACTTAATTTATTTTTATTTTTAAATTGTTTACATTTATGTGAAATTAATTGGTTCTTGTAAATATAAGCATAAGCGCATTGCTCATATCTAAACTTAAATTTTAAATGGAATTTCATATAATATTATTCGTGATAGTAGAATACTGAATTCTTATTTACAAGTTCAATATTACCAAACAACAGGAGAGATGAGCAGTCAAATCCCAATGGTATGGTCTCAAAGAATTTGTGTTCATATTTGAGAGTCATTAAATACTAAAATGAATATCAATTAGTTAATCATGAGAATTGAAAGAGACTCCTTCGCCATGATTGCTTCTTTGGAGCTGAAATTTGGGTAAAATGGTGGAACCAAGTGCTGGAGACAGTGTTCCATTTTTTTTTTTTAACTTTAATACCAACAGGGCTGACCACTTGTTGCAGGCATGTCACTGCTATTGCTGCCTCCAGTTTTATTATATATTATTCTTCAGTCACGGAGGAAACCTCAACTCAGCATTCATTCACTTTCAGCTTCACCTGAAAAGCACCAGACACAAAAAAAAAAAATGTTACTGTTGCTTTGCAATGAAAAGGACAGCCGGGCACAGCACAAGGTGCTAGAATCAAATGGCAAACCATTTGTAGTCCCATGTCAAAAGGAGGGTTGCGGCTGAAAGATGTCTCAACATGGAACCAGAACTATGTGATCATAATCAAGCATTTATGGTCTCTACTTGCACAAGCAAGATCAATTTGGATAGCATGGACACAGAACTATGTGATCAAAGGGAGAAGCACATGGGATGTGCCAATCCCTCAAAACAGTAGCTGACGTATGAGAAGAGTGCTACAAATGAGGAACATTGCTTCCAGGATTTTCATGTCAGCGCAGGGTTGCTTAAACCATCCTGCTGGAGATATATGGGAGGAATTAAGACATAAACAAGAGAAAGTTGATTGGCATAGGCTTGTCTCGTGTAAGCCACTTATACCTAAGCATGCAGTTATCGCATGGAAGGCCATTCGTAATAGGCTTCCTTTAAAGACAGGTTGAATGCAAGGGGATTGCAACTGTTAGGTGCTGTGTATTGTGCAAACAAAATGATGAATGTAAGAATCACATTTTGTTTACGTGTAGCTATTCTAAGGTAGTCTGGAGGCAGGTCTTTACACTGTCAGTTGCGAAAGGAAGTTGAGGATTGACAGAGTGAATTTCAATAGGCAATTTGCTAGACTCCAAGGAAGGGCTTTACTATGTTATATTGAGACTGGCTTGAGGAGCTTACATCTATTTAATTTGGAACGAACGGAATAAAAGGAAATTCAAGTCAGAAGAAAGCAATAATAAACAGATCTGGAGACAGATTAAGGAGGTACACAAGCTAAGAGTAGCTGATTAAAGCATGTTGATTTGGATTATGTTAATAAAGAATTTGTGTGAGAGATAGGACCTATGCAGAGAGATAGTTGTAATGTAAATAAGTGATGTGATACAAATTGTACAAACTGTTTTACAGTAGCAGTGATTTGCTACTTCTTGGATAATAAAACTACAATTTATCCAAAAAATAAAGCACAAGCAGCTGTTCTTATAGTTGATCATATTTTTGCATTTCAGAAAAGAGGTGCATATCAGCAACAACCATGTCACCAATCCCATTTTTATGCCGTTTGAGAAGGATCCGCAGGCATATTGGGAAGGAAACTCTGAAGCGTCTCTTCTTTGCTTTCCTTACACTAGATTCTGCCATACGGACTGGTTCTAGATGAGGCCTTTTACATCACAGCAGCAGTATTATGTTCCTTTCAATGGCAGCAGCAGCAGTCTCTTCTATCATTGCTATATATCAAATGCTGATCCTTAGCAAGCTGGAAAAAATAAACTTGCTGATCATCAACATAAAATTAGGGGAAAAAAATGCTTCAATATGGGTAATTAGACAAACATGCCAGCCTGGATTCATCGTATGTTTGGCAGAACAACCTCACAACTTGGAGAGTCTTAAGAACTATGTACATCACCCTCGCCAATAGGGGTGAAAATCTTTTCAAAAGGTGAGCGAATTCCATTTTCCTCCCACACTAATTCATCCCACCAATCCTTTTCAGCTCTAATTTTCTTCAGAGTCTGTTTCAACTCCGAGTCTTTACAAATCTGCTTCAACTGAGGGCAATCGTACACACTAATGTATTCAAACAAGAGCCTAGTCTGAGCATCTTCCCAAATATGAACCAATTTAGGAAGATACTGAAGTGTTAAACTTTTGAGTGAAATACAACAAGATTCAGTGACCTCTTCCGCAGAAATGATCTTTTCGATTGCTTCACAGTCATCAACCAGCAACTTTTCTAAGTTGGAAATGAATTGCAGCATTGAGCTTTTGAAAACATAAGTCAACTTTGGGCATGCATACAAAGACAGAGCTCGTAAAGCTGCAAAGCTTCCTTTGGGGACAACACCCTTCCAAATGCTCCTCAAACTCCATGAATAATGAATACTTAAGTACTCCAGGCATGGAAAAACACTCTCAGTTCTCTCCTCACTGTCCACAATAGTTTCAAGGTCGGGACATTCACTTATTATACAATATTTCAACTTCTTAATGTTGCCAATCCCAAACTCAGACAGCCTGTGGACGTCAAGCTGATGATCTAAATAAAAAGCAGTACATCGAGCTAACACATTAACAATTGCGTCAGGTATCCTCTCACTGTTGACAAATCTCAAGCATTGACCCGATATGAGACCATAATTCAGTTCTACGTACTGTGGGTCTCGTGATGCATTAAACTTGATGTCTGCGCCAACAACAAATTTGAACTCTGTAAAGCTTTCTTCCTTCCAGAATGCATTTTCTCCGTGGAACAGCTCAAGAAATTACCTCTGGGAAATAGAAGGAAAGAGAAGTCAACAATTTCAAGTTGATCACTTCCTTAACGAAGGATTCGACACTCTTATTCCACCAATTATCTCCTGGGTACACGCTTATGCTTAGTGTTTCCAATGCTTCAAGTCTGGAAATCAATCCAGGTGGTAGCTTAGCATGCTCGCTGCTGGTGCTAGATCCATAGAAGGATACTTCCAAGTGGCTTAGAGAGTCCAGCTCAGCAATCTCTTCAGGTAATTTAATGATCTCCGTGCCCCCAAGATCAAGTACTAGAAGAAGTTTAAGAGATCCAACTTCAGAGGGGAGCTTGACTAGGGGTTCGCAATCACGAAGAATAAGTGTTTCTAGTCTTTCAAGATTTGAAATTGACTTGGGCAAGTACTTGATTCTAGTCTTGGATAGGTTTGAGGATTTAAATTGCTATAACGGTCACGTTTTCAATTGCATCGCGTTTGTCACGATTGCGGATATAACGGAGACTTTCGCGATCATTGCAGCTATTGCGATCGTGAATTTTTTAAATTTTGCTCAACTTATTATAAAATATAATAATTTTAATTATTAATCATAAAACCTTTTATTTTATGATTTTTAAAGTAATTTAGATCATATCATGTGTTTTAATTTATTTAAGAAAAAATATTTATAGTAAAATATTCATATTTAAAAAATTATTTATATGATAATTAAAAAATAAAAAGAGATAAATAAATATATAAAAAATAAATAATCATAACAATAATATATTTAATTATTTAATTATAGTACTCATCAAATTATTACCGAACTATATTATGCATAAATCAAATAATAAGTAATTAGGTATTCATAAATTAAGTACGAGCATTATTATTTATGAGTTAAAAGAATTTTTTTTTATGAACTTACAGTAAATCAAACTTGACAGCCTCCATGTTATGAATCGATTTTCAACAATAATAACCTCAAGTCTACTTCTCGTCTCTTGACTAAGTTGCACAGACTCACATAACTTCTCATCCTTCACCTTGCATTCAATAATTTTTTTTCAAACCTTCATCCTCATCCTCATCTCTTAATTCTCTTTTTATTTGGTGTGTGCTATTTGCTTGCTTTTATAAACCTCAAGTTTCACTCTCATCTCTTATCTCTTATTTTAAGTCCCAACAATTTTTGCCTCCTTCTATCAATGTAACATAGCTCAATCTAACCCCAAACACACAAAATCATGGTTGGAAATTAAAAAAAAGATAATTTGAGTGTTGAATTAATTGTTTACTTTAAATTGCATACACTTAATTTTGATTGAAGTTGAACTTAAGAGAATTGATTTTTTTGAAAAGTTTAAGTTTTGTGGGTTTTTTTTTCTGAATTTATAAATTGATGTTTATTTTCTTTCTTGTTATTTTATTTTAAGTTTTTAAACAAAATCAAATGAATTTTTTTTTGAATTTTTGAATAAAAATAGGAATAAGCGGCAATAGCGGACCGCTATTGGCCGCTATTCACCGTTATAACGCAATTCACGACAGTGATTCGTCCGCTATAGATGAGATTTAAATTTTCTCGACCCGTTTTTTCTCCAATAGCGGTGGCGGATAGTGGCGGCGATCGCGAAATAGTTGTCGCAACACCGCTATCCGACCATTATTTGAATCCTTCTTCAACAATTTAAGGAGAGGCATGTTGTGAAAGAAAAGATCTGGTAACACTCTCAGCTGATAGTTCCTTTGCAGAAACAATGTGACAAGTTTAGGGCTACTTGTTTGTCAGGCAGAGCGGACAACTTATCATTCATCAAAAACATAATCTTGGAGCTGATTGGTCACGTGACTGCTTGCAACTTACTGATCACCTTCCTGATGATACAGTACAAATTCTGAAGTTTGCATTATTGAGGAATGTGATGCGATGACGAGCATCGTAAATGGAAATACAAATACAACAGGAGTAGTATTCCCACGCCTGGAAAAGCTACATATAAAAAAGCTCCCAAACTTGGTGAGTATCCTGGGAGGGCACATTAGCATCTGAAAGCTTCAGTAAACTAACAACTCTGACAATAAAAGAATGCCAAGGTATAAGAGTAGTTTTCTCACTAGAGGTGGTCAAACAACTCTCTGAGTTACAAAATCTTCAAGTTGAGGACTGTAAAAGGATTGAAAGATTATTGAAGCTGACAATACAGTTGAATCCACAGCCTTTCCCAGTTTGGAAGAATTTCCACACTAAGTAGCTTGACAAACTTGTCTTCCCATTTGTGATGCGCCATTAGGGTGGCCCTCTTGGAGAGAATACTGATCAAGACATGTGAACGGCTAAAAAGTTTACCAAGTATCCTACAACGTGCTTCCAAACTGAGAAAAATTCAATGCGATGTAGATTGGTGGCATCAACAGCATTGGCCAAACAACGAAACTAAAGAGCATTTCAGAAGTTTTCGCCGTCACCTCAGCTAAAACGAAAATCCTGAACAAGAAACATTGCTGCATATGGTTATTGACCTCTAAACCTATGTGGAAATTTTCTTGGACCATGCTCTTACATTCCATGGCCAGTATCATTGGATTTGGCAGAATAATATAGGCTGGTCAGCTCAATGTTATTTTCCTTTGTTTTTTTTTTTTTTGGTTTTCTGGCTGGTTTGCTCTTGGTGTCTTCTCCTGTTGAACACTCAACAATAAAATTTCCCGTGTGTTTGTTCAAATCATATTGCGTCATTGTAATAATTTTATCATGTTATTTTCCTTTTTTTTTTTTGGTTTTTGTGTCTGATTTGCTCTTGGTGTGTAATATGGTTTGAAGACTCAACAATAAAAATTTATGTGCTTGTTTTATATCCATGTTTTTATATATGGGTATGCGCCATATATATTTTTATCAGCGATTAATGGAACTTTACTTTCATATATGCAATTGCCATAGAAGTCCACAACAGATTGGGTTCTAATTGCTTGGTTGAATTGTTGATGTAACGCTTTTACATGATTGAGTTTATAAATTTATTTTACTTATTTCAGATTAAAATTAAAGTCAAAAAATTATGTAACTTATGAAACACCAAAAAAAATATAACACCCATAGTAATGTATCCTCTTAAGCTCATCACATCTTGTCAGCAATTCTTGACAATAGGCTGAAATTTCTTACAGCCAAGAAGGCAGAGGGAAAAATCCGTATCATCTTAAGTTCTTCACTGCGATGTTTATCTCTGAATATATAAAAAAATATGGAAGCTTAGGCAAATGGGAAGCATATTGAGGATGTCACGTTATCTTTGGCTGATATTTAATGTTGGGATAAAGTTCACATGTGAGTAAAATAATCTTATACCATTAGAAATTTTGAATGAAATATCTATATATGCATGAAAGACCCAAGAATTTAATGGTTTAAGCTTTTGGACTCAAGAACTTAATAATTTAAGTTTTTAAATTTAAGTGATGTACAACATGTATGTATAGGTTCTCTGATGTGCTCCTATGGGCTCCAAGTCTGGTTTATTCTTCCCAACAAGTGGTATCAGAGCCAAAGGTTACGACGGATGCCGAAAAGTCATAGGTTTGAGTCCCAGTAGTATTACTGGGGTAGAAGATTGTTAGTAAATCAGAGATTGATCTCGTCCATCAATTCATGTATTTGAACGTCGCATTAAAGATTCATTTATGTTCTCAAACGCCGATATTAAAGGTTCAACTTCAATTTGGATGCATGGAGTATATAATAGAGATGTAAGTAAGTGATGTGTTGAGTCAACCTGAAGTAAAAACTTGAGGGAGCACTGAAACAACCTAGATGTAAGATTGAGTGCTCTGACCTGATCCAAAAGCGCACTAAAGATGTGAGATTGCCTGGTCAAATGAGGTGTCGATAGGACTTACTCGTATAGAAGAGTCGAGATAAGACTTGATTAGAACTCACAAGTAAACGTGAGAGATTGTTGGGATAAAATTCACATGTGAGTAAAGAATCTCACATCATTAGAAAATCTAAATGAGATATCTTATATATGTATGAAGAACTCAAAAACCTAATAGCTTAAACTTTTGAGATCAAGTGATGTCTTACATATATATATATATAGACTCTCTAATGTGCTCCATGAACTCCAAATCTGATTTATCTCTTAACATTTAAATCAGGCATTCCTGCTTTTCATTTATTTACTTTTGAAATGACTTTTTCAATTCATGTTTCTTTTATGCCAGGGCGAATTATGAGCAAAAGATCATCCAGTTCAAAGCTGTTATTTTAAGACTTGCATGGTAATGGTGCCAAAGTCCAAGTTATGGCTGATGCGAGGTACTAACTATTTTTTTATCATAGTACTTGCATGTTCTTATTTTTTTTTCTCCAAATTTCCCCTTTTTATGGGAAGTTTTATGAGAAATTCGAGGTAAAAACAATTTACTTATCCTTGCTGTTAAGATTTTCTCTAAATTTTACACTCATTGCAACAAAAAGCTATATTTTTAGGTGCATCATCCAGCTAAATAATTTAGCATATTGTGAACATTTTATGTATTTTATTTCAATATACCACTCATTGCAACAAATAGCTACATTTTTAGGTGCATTGTCCAGCTTGAGCATGTGGTGAGTACTTTGTGTTTTATTACAATATATTGTCTGTTTTTGGATCTTGTTCTGACCCCACTCAAGCGAAGGCCATTTTAAAACATACTGGATATAGTTGGTTTGCAATATGCTTTTGCCATCTATATTGTGTGAAGAAGATTTACACTGCTTTATGGTGATGCTTTAGATTTTACCATCTCATTTGTATGCATGGAACAACTATAAACTTTTTGACCTGAATAATTAATTTCACGTGATCATAACTCATTTGTCTACCCTATTTCTAAGCATTCACATATATTTAATCTACTGCAAATCTGTACGTATTTATCAGTAGTATGCATATGAATACACTAATTGCATATCATTGTGTTAAATTCATACAAGTTGAATAGTTTGGAGACATTATTTTGCAATCCCATGAACTTATTCTAGTTGAGGTTAGTGATTGTGTAATATCCAAAAAAAAAAAAAAAAGATTATTTTAAGTATTTTTATAAGTGGAGGAACTCTTTAATAAAGATTGAAAAATGTAGAGGACCTATTAATAAATAACCCGATTTTTATTAATAGGGTTAACTTATTCAGTTTTTAATCGACAATTAATGAAAAGAAAAATACAAACTTATTTCTCCTCTATCTTTTATATAAAAAAGATAAATTGAAGGATTCCAAGTGAAGGGAAAGAACAAATCTACAAAAAGGATTGTCTATCAGAGGTGAGTAAATAATCTCTTTCAATTTTGGAATATTAATTGTTAAATCTTGAAGTATAAATTACAATCGAGAAACCCTAAAATTTTAGGGTTTCCATTATCCCTTTTTGTCTAATGATTTAGGCTTTAATCAGAGTCAAATTAAGTGATTGAGAAAGTTAATAATGTGAATTTATTGTTGAAACAAAAACTTGATGGGAATAGTAAAGAAAATTTTTATTTCGTATGAATCCTAATATAAACATTGTGTTTGCAGTAAGAGATTAAGGTTATATTCAATATTAAAGGATTAAATACTACTATGATTGTTATATATCGTTGGAAAGCATGTTGAATATACTTTCTAATGAAACAAACAAAAGTCGAATTTGAGTTTTCTATAAAGAATTGCCTAATTTTTACTTAAGGATGTGCAGGTTGCCTAGTAGCAACAGCAGCAGTGAGGAATTACGAAATTCTTCTTAATTTTTGTACAAGGAATTATGTATTGAGCCATACATGTTTGAAAAAGGTCATTGAGTCTACTGTTCAATGAAAGAAGTGAAATTGAATTTGGAGTTTCTTATGAATAAATGTGTAATTTTTATTAGAAGGTATACAAGCTGTCTGACAGCAGCATATGACAAGGATTGGAAAAATTGTCATAATTAATCCACAAAGAATCACGAGATGTGTCATATATGAATAGAAAGCTTATCTAGTCTAGTTTCTAATGCATTAAAGAGATCTTAATTCCAATTTAGATATATTGAGATATGACTGTTTTAATGAAAAGAGGTCAGACTGTCAGTATTAATTAGTTGAGTGAACCCTTGTGTAACTTAGTTGAATTTTGTATAAATGGTCTAAAAAATGGTTGATTAAATTCTAATGTGTTGAAATGATCTTGAATAGGCCATTAATTATTTTGGGGGAAAACCTAATTGATGGAATCAAAATGAAGTAAGTAGAATCTCACACACTTCGCTTATTTTCGAATATATGTATATATGTATATTTCTAAATAAATGAATATTTAATTTCATTATTTTTTATATATGAAAATAAGATCAAGCATATGATTATTTTGTGTTTATCTATATGAATGATGGATCATGCTTATGAATGAAATAAGAAAATGATTTATGTTTTAAAGAATGATTTTGTGATGGCTACGTTTTTACATCCCTGAGAAGTAGGATCATCGACACAAGAACTAGTTTTACGATCCTGGCTAACGAGTTATAACAGTTAGTATAGATATGATCATATAGCCCTGCTAACGAGTTATAGTAGTTAGCGTAAGACCCTGGCTAGCGAGTTATAATAATTAGCAATAATTATGAGGATGAAATTGTCGATATGGTTAATGTCACGGGTTATAACAGTGATTATAGCTAATGATAAACGATTGATAATAATGATTTATGATAATTTTAATGGTTGATCCATGATTTGATTTGATTACAATATTTGAATGATAGCATATTTTGCAATAATTTGTGAAGATATATTTTGACATTGATTTATGAATTTATGAAATGTTTGACAGAACAATGATCTTGAAATGTTTTGATATTATAATTTGACGAATGTTATGAATGATCTATATAATACGTATAAAAAAAAGGTTGTTTGATCCGATAAGGTGTGTGAACCTTTACTTACTGAGCTGTAGTTTACTCATTTTTTATTTTCTTTCCTTTTACAGATGTTATGAATGATAAGTATGATTAGCTTGAGAAGAGTTAGAAAAGTTGAGCATTGGAGAACTACTTAGAAATTAAGATTTTATAAAATATTGTTTATTTTAGTTATAATATTCGACTTTGAACCTTTGGAGACTTGTTATCTAGCTATGTTACTTAATGAGAACCTTTTATCTTTAAGAGTTTTTCAATGGTTAAGAAAG